TGCAGGTGCCAATTATTTCCCACTGCAAAATATTATTATAGTACAACTATATTCCAGTCGATGCACCTTCCACAAACATTTGAAGTGGTTTTCTACTTCTGTTTAGACTTTCTTTAGATAAATGTGTGGAAGTTCTTGCATGTTTCACATGCTCGTATTTGCTATCATATCACAGTTTTGACTTGTCTAAGCAATTTTCACAGAGAGGAGTGTCATGTGGAATTTAATAAGCCATGGTTTATCAGATCGTGAGTTACTTAAAGTTTTTGTATGAAAAAGTCCCTAATGATCTTTTTTTTTCGGTAGTCTATTTGGTTGTGGCACACTATTCTGAACTGTTGGAAGAATAGTCCCTTTTTCCAGACAATACTATCTGAGGTCTTGTTTAAATATGTGCATTTGGGGACAATACCTTCTAGTGTGAGTGAGGGCTTAAAATATTTGCATAAATGATGATGCATTCAATGTAGCTTATAGTGTAACTCCAATAAGAGAAAAATAGTTGTGAAAACTGATGCATGTTCTGGAACTTTATATTGGTGCATTGCTTGCTCTAGAGTCTAGGACTTTCAATGGAGTGTGACAGGAATCTACTGCTCTTTTGTAGCCCAAGGGTTACCAGAGGAAGACAACGAAATTACTGATGTGTCTCACCAATAGTTGCACTACACTAATTGGGATGTCCATTTTTTGTTTGACATTTAACTAATTCTAATTGATTAAAAAATCTTTTTACAATTGTATATATCATATGTACTTAAAAATCTCTTCACAAAAAGTTGAGACCAGTAAGGTATTTGACATCACCCCTATTCTATAATTTGTAAATTCCTTGTCTCAATCTGTGATATATATATTATTTATCCATCAACAAAATTGGTCCCTAAGTTAGAGGACTTCGAAACTCCTGCTTTGGTCAAGGAGTCTGCCCACTCATTAGACTCCCTCCAAGTATGTTGGAAGTCTATATCTCTATTACTTGAAACACGAGCAATTTTCATTAAATATGTTAATTAGCGTTCAGGGGCATTTGTCCTTTCCACTTATCCAAGCAATCACAGAGGCAGAATCCCCTTCATAGATGACTCTACTGCACTCAGGGGATAAATTTCTAAAACCCATTAATAAGGCCCAAGCCTCAGCCCCTGTTTAATTGCACCGATACAATAGGCTGGAGTAAGTTTGTTATATTCTGTCCCGGTCATGTCTTACTGCCCCTCCAACACCAGCATCCCCTGGGTTGACTTTGGAACTTTTGTTAAAAATTGGCTTAACCGATCGATCTATTGGGTCATGGCTGCTAGTTATTAGACTTTCCTTCTCTCTTGCATTTTATTCTCAAGATTATTCATTCTGTAGCTCCCAAGTTGTGTTTGGTTCTTGCCCCATGCTATCACCATGGCCTAACTAGTTTTCTTGTTCTAGTGTCTTCTTGTTTTCAATTTGAAGCATGCACTGGATCCATGTCAACCATAATACTGCAAGCAGAGTCAGCTTCCACAGGATAACCTGCTTCAGGAACTCTGCTTTAGTAATGCCTGGACTGAGACCGGATGACCCAGCTCTGGTGAAATAAGTCTAGAACATGAAGCCATATAGGGCTCATAGCTGTACAGGGTATGAAAGATGGTTTATTTATTCAGATCCCTGTTTGCACATTACACAAACATTAGGAATAACCATAATCTTCGCTTCTAGGTGATCAACTGTTAACACCTTATGGATTGCCAAGCAATGCTGTGTTTTCAAGGGGCAGGAATATGGTACACCTTGGTGGCCTTGGCATATGCTTCTGAACATGTGTTTTACGAAAAAAATTCCCCTTGCTGTCCAGCATTTAAAGAATAGCCTCCTCTTTCTTGGCATTATAGGACTGCTGCAACTTTGAAGCAAATGAAGCAATGCATCCACCTCATCCTCCTTCAATGACCTCCTAAGGCATGGAATCCATGTAGTCTGTTACTTGAAACCTTGTGCCACTTTGTGTAACTTTGTATTTGGATTTGAGGCAATCGCAAAGAGGCTGGTTTACTTCTTAGCAGTTTGCTGTCCAAGCCTGGTGTCCAACCAGCACCTCACCTTCCTCCCGTTCCCTATCTGAATTTAAACATTCTGCGTAAACTTCTACTGTAGTCTAAGAAAGGTGAGGACCTAAAACTTTAACTTAACCTGTCCCAAGCCCGGATAAAGGAGGTGAGTTGTGTTGGGTAGGCAACCAACATAAAACTTTGCCAAACTTTTCATGAATCTTGAATCTACATTATTTGCTTATGCTAGCCTCATTGAGGGTATGACCCTTGATAGAGCAGATTGGCGGACTAGGATTCGTGTAACCGACCCCAAATAGTCGGGACAAGGCTCTGAAGATGATGATGATGTCGTATCTTTATCTCCCAATATCCTGTCCTATAAAATATGGCTGGTCTTACAGCGTCTACAGAATTTCCCCTTCATTTTCTGTGGTATACCAACTAGGATAAGATAGGTTACTTTTAAATGCACTTTTGTAAAAGCCTTGGCGTTCATCTTGTTGGATCGATCATAGAAGTACAGCTCATTTCTTGTTGGCATTTCTCCTGTTGCCTTTGATTGACGTTTCTCTTTCATGCTTCAGTCTTGGCCATTCGTTGTCCTTAAAGACTTAGGGAACCAACTTACTATGTGAAGGAGATACTTAATGCATCCTTTAAGAGCAAAAAGAGATATGTTATGAGGACATGGACATGTGCGTCAGTTTTTGACATGGATATGGTGTGTTATCACAGCTCTGTGGAAAAGAGCATGTAGGACACAACATATCTGTGCAATACATAAGTGTCAGTATGTGTACATAAGGTACACGCATATCTGTATATAAAAATGTAACATTAATTCCATTAAGAAAATTAGCTAACATGTGCACGTCCAAAATTCCTGATACACGCATCAAATCATGGGTTGATGTATTTACATTCTTGGTTATGATTGTTCACCTCTCTAGACCATCCAATAGTCCAACACTCAGCCTTGTTTGTATGACATGAAAACAAGTTTGTTACGTCACTGCTTGGAATTGACTGGTGAGTTTGAAGTGTCAAAACACACGTAGGATGCAGTTTGATATACCATGTTTTTGTCACATAGATTACAGATTTTGTCCTTTGCTTTCATTCAGTTGCCCTTGCATTCTGCGAAAGGCTTAAAATAGATTGCTCTGTGGATAAGTTTTTCAGATGTACTTTCCGACTGAAGTATCTCAAAATTGAAAGAAATGTTATTTGCCTCTAAGCCCAAGAATTGGCTAAGTTGCTAAGAAGCATCGAAATAGACATTATGATGGAACTGCTGCCATTTTGCTTGGCTGCCATTGCCATGTACTTTCTACCCCTCAATGAGACTTATAACATTCTGCAGTAATATGGTCAAATTTTACCCATTTTTGCTATTTGGAGAGATGTTCCATTGTAAGTGGTAGTTATGTGAACTTTTAGAACTGTTGAGCTATCCTTCCAATTTTATAGGATGTTTCTAGAGAGAATATGGTCATAGAAGCATTCCCTTTTATGCATATGAGCACCATTTGGGGTTTATTTTCATCCCCACCTGATGAATATCTGTGTAAGTCTAGATTTAACAATTAATGATAAATAAGATCCTTGGATGTACTTAGAGAGCTTAAGAGATCTTGGATAGGCCTTTTCACATGAGACATAAAAAGTGCTAAAAGATTATAAAGGTTTGTTGTAAAAGAAAAAAGCTGATTTTATTCACTGAATATAAGTGACTATTTACACATGTAAAATGATTTAGAACTGCGTATAGGCCCTTTCATGCATATTCTTCAAGAAAAATGTGTAAAATGACCTAATTAACCCTGGAATGGATTACAAAGTATTAACATCATTTTTCCAGTATCATTGTATTTCCTCATCCATTCTCATTTGACATTCACAGGATAAAGCCACCACTGGGAAGCAGGGATTGGGCATCAAATGCTGCTCCAAGAAGATAGCTGGGCATCGCTGGGCAGGAAAGTTGCCTATATTTGATGATAGCGAGGATAATGAAACCTCTGATGATGGTGGCTCTTCAAAGAGGAAATATAGCACGTTGGACAGCTATGTTGAAAAGGAAGAATCTAAACCTGAAGTGACAAAGCTATGCAAGTCCAAAATAGCTGTTGAAGAGAAAAAGATCAGAGATCCAAAGCCCAAACTAAAGAAGCTGTGTAAAAAGCTACTTCAGGTAATTAACACAAAAGTTTCCTTTCTCTTGGTCATGCTTAGTTGCCCCATTGATCATCCAATTTTTATCAATGAAGTGAATGGGGAAATGGTGCACAAACTTTAGAGATTTGTATGATGGATATTGTTTTTTCTAAGCCATGGAGCTTTTGTTACAGATTCCAGGGAATTTCCTTAGATTGAAGCAACTAAAGAAGCTTCTTGCGGCAGAGTCAGCTTCCATTGTTTCCTCTTCGCTCGCTTCTCTTCGAAGAAGGAAGCCCTCTTGCATTTGAGAGAAAAGGTATGGGCGTTTCTCTGCTAATCCATATAATTAGATGCCGACCATACTTTCTTATACCATAAGTACAAAAGCTCCCTAATTTCTTAAAAAAAAATTGTGAAAATATATTCTAATGGTTTCAGAATATTTAAAAAATGTTGTTAATTTGAATATAATACTGAAATAATTTCCCATTTTTGGTGGACGAAATTCATGTTGTTTGGATGATCCACGTGAGAATTGCAGATGTGCTTATCTTCAGTTTGAAATATGGTGGTTTGGTTGCACAATATTGGGCTTTGCATTTGTCATTTTGGTTATCACAGTTCTTTTTAAATTGGTGTTAGGGTAGTGTCGTCATGTTAAAAATGGCAATTGAATGGAAGTTCTTTCATTCTTTGAACTGGTAGCATATTCACACATCAAATTAGGCATCACCAATCTATTCTTATCTCTTGTTTGTCTGCTGAGTTCATTGCTAATCTTTTGACATGTGGTTGAACTTCTGCAGTTTGAGAAAAGTGGGAGATTCAGTGTTGAAGGGAAAAGAGTGACTCTAGTATCGCAGAACGATTGAAGATTCTGTTGATGGGAGTTATGGCTTGTAACGGATTATAGGCACATGAGATCATCGAGCACAAGGCTGCTGGGCTCAACACTTTTGTGAAACAATTTAGTATGTGGATTTCGTATTTCATATAATTTGTTGCTTGGTATGTTTAATTGCACGATTAATTGCATGATTTTTATTACTAGATAAATAAGTTCAAAATTTTGTCGAGTGTTACTCTAATGGTACTATGTAAGGACATAAAATCATTGTTCAATGGCTACCTCATTGTTGTATTTATTAGAAATTTAGTCAAAATTTTGTCGAGCGTTACTCTAGTGGTACTATGTAAGGACATAAAATCATTGTTCAATGGCTTTAATGTATCTGTACAATAACTGCAAATCATAATCTTATCATGTGTGGTCTTATCAGGTGCAATTAATCTCCACCATTATTGAGACATGTAGCCCTTAGTTACATCATGTTGCTGCTCTAGTGAAACTGGTTGTCTTGTTTGCTGTGATATTTTATCTAAATGCAATTTTGGATGGAAGAAATAGGTGTTTCTTGTTTGCTGATATTCATGAATCAAGAAATTTTTTTTTTTAAAAAATCTTGTTTATGCCTCAGCTAAAATTTGTGGCAAATGCAGTGATTTTTCATACTAGTGGGATTAAAAACAGAACGTTTATTTTTTGGGTAATTAAAAAAAAAGTAAAAAGACAGACAGCTTACTAAACAATTAATGCACTAGTATGTGTATGATCTGTCTGAACATATGTATCATAGACATGCATCCATGGATTTGGGAACATTTATATGACATTCGTGTCTGAAACTTAAAAAACAAAAACTCGGGACCCGTGTAGAACATTATACAAGTATTTCAATGTGACCTAATACCAATCCCCATTTATCTCATTAGACATTCTTTTGGTTGAAGGACCAAATACTGAATTTGACATTTGTAATATTCGTATCTGTCAGACCCTAACACACATAACGACATCTTTGTAAAATCAGTAAGTTTGGAGATGCACTAGTCACGTGGCATGCGGTATGCAACCGGGTCCAACCATCTATCAAGGCCATTCATGGTAATTATGGTTCACGTCTGCTTTCATCACAAGAAATGGGCGGTGGATGCGCCATCTGTGTATCATAAAAAAGT